CTAACCTTCTAAGAGTTTCTTCTATGTCATCATCCACATTTCGTTCACTTTGTGCTGCTGGTCCCACTTTGACTTGACCTCCCTCTTGTGTAGGACTATCTTCATGTTTAGCATTCTCAGAATCACAATTTTCATCTTGTCTCTTGTCTTTACCTTGTCTGTCTTCTTGTGCCTTTCCTTGTGATTTTTCAACTATTTTTTACTAATAGCAATCTAACATTCTTGTCTGAAATGGCTGCTTCTCTATTTTTCAATCTTTTAGCTCTGGTTGTTAAACTTTCACTGACTTCTACAGTATTTGTTTCCTAAGCACTCTTACTTTGGGATTTTCTGTAAGCTGATTTCCAACCAATTCACTTGGTGTTGACTTTGTATCTTTCTCATTATTTTCACAGATCTTTGGACTAATCACCTGAATCTTAGCTCCCTGATCATCAGCTTGATCTTCATTTTTGCTCTGGGGTGATTTTGTCAAAACTGGCTGCTGGAGTGAATGCTCATCTTGTTTTCTTTCTTCTCTTCAGCATCATCTAAAATATCCTGGAACTGCTTCTCCTTAACATTGCTTGGAAAGTTGCATTGTTAAAGATGAGATTTTTGGCTGTCTTTTTGTTCACATCTGGATCACTGAATCCATCATCATCATCTGTATAACTTGCCTATGCTTTCTTAAATTCCTCATTTGTTTCGTGGCCAAGCCTCCTTTCATGCCTTCTACTAGATGTAAAACCAGCATCATTCTCCTCCTGGGAATCGGTAGATGAATTAATAACTGCCAAGGTCTTTATTCGGGTGCGTTTTGGACGTGAGATTCCTCTACCACGGCCTCTACCACGGCGATGAGGTACATGAAGCGGTTGCCTGCGTAGTCTGCTGCTCTGCCTCAAGGTCATCCTTGTTTCTGGTTCCTTTTGCTGAACCTCATCCTTAGCCTCCTGATCTTTGCATTTCGAGCTATCACTCCTTACACTTGAACTCTCAATATCTGAGTTCAAGCTTTCTTCCAGATTGCTTGAGTTGCTATCGTCAGTATGAAGACTTACACTTTTGATGTAACCTAACTGCCCTTGTGCCTCACTGCTTTTACTGGAAATACTTTTTTCTTCACTCCCCAAAACTGTATTTTCTATAACATCTTCACCGTGTGCACTTTCAGTTTCACAAAGTGAACTCTGTACTGATGGCAAGACATCAGCAATTTCCACAGTCTCATCTCCAGTGTTATCCTTACCATCATTATCAGTGTTCAATTTTTCTTTGGGTTCTGAATCATTAACTGGAACTTCAGAAGACCCATTCTCATCTTGTAGTTTGGTGTCCTGAATAACCATCAGTTCTTCAGTACTTGAATCTAAACTGCTACTGTTTTTACTTTTTGAATACTGAGACCTTCTCTCTTTTAAAATCATACTTAGATTTGCCTCCATTGGAACTGCACCTTCTGATCTGATATTTCTTTCACTTCTTCGTGGTTTCTTTCCTAACAAACTTTCTGGGGGACTTGCTAGAATTCTCTTTTTTACATTTTCTCGGACTCCAAATTTATCAGGCAATGCCTTGCCATCTTTCTCAGTATCTTCAAATGTTGGCTTAACCACCTGTGTTGATAAAAGTCTTTGGGCTCTTCTTGTAAATTTTTTAGGAGCACTAACATTTGCTTCTGGAGATGAGCTTGATGTTCTTTCAAGAGTTCCTATCACTTTGGGAGAAAGCTTTTGCAAAAGAACTTTGGGCGGAGTTTTAAGCTTCCTATCCCTGACCAGTAACGTGTGAACTGACAAATCTATAGGGCCAGGAAACATACAATTTGTATCCTTAGAAAATAGCTCAGGTGATGAACTCATCTCGTGATCAGAATCTGCACAAGGTAGGTGATCGTATACTTCAGAAGCTAATGACTGCTTCTCAACACTGTCAGAGGAGCTCTTTTTTTATCACTGCCATCTTGCAGTGTTAATGGTGTTTCACTTCTAACAGAACTGTTGCTTTTATCTCCTAACAATAAAGCTTCAAGATCTTCATCATTCATTGTTCTTGCATCTGGTGTTTCAATCCTCTCAGAACTTTTATTTGGAGAACCCAAGATAGCAGCCAACTCCAATTCCACAGAATCCACTCTCACAGCCGACCAGGATAAGGTGTCCTGTAGGTGTACCATGCTGAATGGGTGTAGAACTGGAGATGTAGTTTTCACTAGTGATGATTGTACTGCTGGTGATTGTTTCTCGTGTTTACTTTTGTCACCCTCCTCTGACAGATTCTGTGGCATGCAAGATTTGGTTGTCTGAGGTAATGAAAATACTTCTTTTCCTACTGAACTATGTACTACTGTGGATTGTGAAGGTTTTGGTGAAGCTGATATATGAGTTGTGGTTTTTGGAGAAGTCTGCATTACTGGATTTTGTGTGGGGATGTTTCTACTACTGAACAGAACTAGGGGGTGTTGGAATATTCTGCAAAATTTCTGTTTGTTGTGTTATGTCTTTTGGTTTATTTCCGTCTTTGCTCTTGTGTGTTTCCTCAGGTTGTTTTCCAAGATCAAATTCCCTCTTGTCATGCTGTGTGCTTACTTCTGGTGACCGGGCTCTTTCCATATCTGTCTGCAGTGTTTCATCTTGATGCAATGTGTGTTTCTTGATAATATTAGAGGAATCAGCAACAAGACTGCCAACTGCTGCACCTTCCGATGACACAGGTGCATCAAGTATACGCAACTGATCTTCCAGCTCCATTGCTTGGGTGTCAGTAATTTTGTCTTTTTCATTACTAGGTCCAGAACCTTCACTGGCAAGATCAAGTTTGCGAACTGTTTCTTCAATAGGATCTGGTGGAACTGGAGGCTTAATTTTGATTTTGCAAGGTGTCTGCAGCATTGGAGGCACTTTAGCAATGTCCATCATGTCATCAGCAGTTTCAGATTCCGTCATACCTCCATCAGTAGTTGCTCCGTCATTATTATCAGTTGCAGCATCTGTGTCATATGATGCACTCTGATCCATATCTGAGGGTTCATCCTCACTCTTATCTTTTATAATTATTTCTTCATTCTGTTCCCAGTGTGAATTGCAACGTTTAAGTCTCAGCACTGGAGCTGGTGGAATCACAAATCCATCCTCTGTTCGTTTTACCCTTTTTAGTGAACCCTTTTGTTTATCACTGGCCTCAAGTGATGATGAAAAGCCAGACACAGCTGACTTCTTGATGATAAGTGTTGGAATTGCTGGTTTGCTTGAGCCTGAATCCTTCTCTTTTGTAACTGACTGTTTAATGATATGAGCGAGATACAGCTGATGCAGTCTTGTGTGATGTAAGTTCACTTTTCTCAGAGGTGCTTGCTTGTATATTGCTGGAGGGAGGTACCTGGTCATCACAGCAAGATGTACTGGTGCTTGCTGTATCTTTGCCATCTTTATCTTTGCTATTGTTGTTCTCTTCAACTCTCCTGGATGAGGGACTAACAATCTCAGACTGAGAGGGTACAGCAGGCTGAAGTTCTGCTTTCTCTGCAATAGTACGTTTTTGATCCTGAGAATAAGTTGTTCCTGGCGGGGCTTCTTCCGTAAGCGAATCTTCAAACCACCACGGGGTGTTGATCCAGGGCCTGAATACGTTACTCTGTGTTCTGGGGTATAAATTGGATATGGCATTGAAATATAAGAAGGAGTCATATAACCTGGGGTATGGCAGGGTGTGCGAGATGGGGTTCTTAAGTAACTGAAATTTGGGTCTCTTACTGGAGTTCTTATGGCATTCTGCACAATTTTCCTTGCTCTCTTATACATGGGGTTGTTTGTCCTGCCCAAGCTCTTTAGCCTTTGAGCAACAGGAACATCTTCATCACTGACATCATCTTCAAATTCATAAACATTCTTACTGCCAGCCTTACTCAATCCTCCAGTCTCCTCTGAACAGTCGATACCAAGAGGATCGTGAGGATCACAGTGGAGTGGGAAAGCCTCTGGTGACTCTTTGCCATCAAGATTACTGTCTACAGTGATGGAAGAGCTTACATTTTCTATAATTGTTGGATCTTGATCATTTCTCTTTCTCTTTCTTGGTGGCTTCTTGAAAGTGCTATCTGCACTCCGCTTTCCTACAGCTGTACGTCTGATGGTGATCTTCAATTTTGATTCTTTATTGCCTACTACAGTAAGCTGGGGAGATGATGGATCTGCTGGTTGAGATTCACCAGCAAGTTCAGTTGTTTTGCCAGATTTATCAGCAGCTTCTGAAGTTTCAATGCTGTTGCTGTCTTTTTCCAAGTTATCTTTAGGAGGAGATTCATTGGGGAATTGAGCAGCCAACTTCCTCTGTGTTTGAAGTCTTCCCTTCTTTGTTGGAGTCGGTATGATCTGCTTCATCCGAGAAGTTTACACTATCATGTAATTCACTGATATTTATTGTTGTTAAACTATCTTTGGTGGAATCAGTGTTCAGGATCGATGCATCTGAATTTTCCTTTGCTGACACATTTTCAGCAACAACTGGTGTAACAGCTGGTGTTGTAGGTACATCAGGTAATGTTAACAGTTTTTGTTGTTCTTGTTCTTTATTTATCTTTTTTGGTCTTCCCCGACGTCTTTTTACAGGCTGACCTGCACTAACAGGTGATGGTGTTACACTTGGTATACTAGGGGATGGCTGACCACTTTCTGGGAGCTGGTCATTCACATTTGTAACTTGAGGCACAGCTGGCAGAAATTTAGCAGATGGAGTTAGTGCATCAGCATCAAAAAACTCTGCATATGAGACATTTGCACATGCACGCCTACCTCTCAAACGTGTTGAAGGAGCTGGTTGTGGCTTTGTAAAAACAATTCCTGAATTATCTTTTTTATTTGATGACCCCTGCATTGCATTTTCCTTCACTACAGAATTTTTCTGTCTATTTATTTCATCTATGGGAGTTGCAGGAGTTTCTGGTTGTGCAACTCTGGTGTACTGACTCTTCTTAGGTGGCAAAGCCTTGCACTTTTTGGGTGGTCTTCCTCGTGGCTTCC